GGGGGGGGGGGGGGGGGGGGGGGGGGGGGGGGGGGGGGGGGGCGGTTATTCGTCTTTCGCGTGCCTTGGAAATATTACGATTACACCTTTACCATTAGCATTAACGACAACATCAAAAATTGAGCACATCTGATGTATTTATGTGCTTCAATGAGAATTCCGCGCCAGGAGTCGGGAGAAGGGCGGCATCAAAGTTGCTTCCAACACGGAACCAACAGTGGTGGCGGTGGGGTCCTGCAACACCAACCAACAATGCGAGTGCACAAACCGGAGGAACACACGAGCCTCTGGTAGCGGGGGGAGAGGCCTGGCAAGGGTACCACACGCGTTAGTTCTGTGTTTGGGTGTCGCAGCGAAGAATCGACGAGCCCGAGCAAAAGCAAGCACGGAGCATTCCAAAGCATCACATCAGAGTACCAACCACACATTTGGAGTTCGAGCATCTAGACGACAGAACGGCAACACTTGGCAACACTCTAATATTTGTAAGTGGGATATCTGGACTCTCGACGAAGTGCAAGGAACAACAGGGAGAGGACTACACTTATTCCCAACATGATAGTGCGTGAACGAGCATGGACCCAAGCGCTCCGGTTGTATTCGACGAAGACGAAACAGAACAACGAGATACGGGCGCAAGGAAGGAAGGACATCAAGCACCTGCCAGGGAGGAGGCCGTAATCATGAGGGGCAAGTCGAGCGCCGCGAAGAAGTACAGCGTGGGGATCCATTTCCACAGGACTGTCGGCAAAGAATGTGTCCAGGGGGGGGCGCGGAAGGGCACAAGTAGGGAGTAACGGTCAGTCGGGAAAAGGGTGTAGAGAGTTGATTTTTTTTGTTGCCGTCAACTCTACCACTGGCACTAAATAGCTCCAAACGCAGTACGCCCAACAAGATCAACAGCCCGTGGTCAAGTCGTTCCTTTTATACTATTGGGGAACGGGTGTGATGTTCCGCGTGCGGTAGAATTGTGAAATACGCGGTTGTGCGTAGAAGGGGTACGGCCACGAAATGATACACATGGTTAGACAACTTCTGGTCAGGTCGGGTTGTTTCGGCATGTGAGAGAGTACCTAGGTGAACGGATGTGGCTCTCCTTTCATCCGGTTGGGTCGAACTTCACGTATCATAGGGTGATTGAAAACGTAGGTCACCTTCATTTGACGGTAGCGCCTGGTTGGGAGACTGGTTTGTGATGATGTGGTGCCCCGCCATCCCGAAGCCACAGTTCAGGCCCACCACCACCGTATCCTCCTTCCGAAACGTCGCTAACCGGCCTCTGACACACAAAGAAGGAGACACAACCAACGAAACGAGAGAGGTATTCGGCAAGGTGCTAGAAGTACAGTAGGTGGCCCGGTACAGTGCCGGTCGAATAATGCCAGTTGCCCGCTATCATGCTGGTGAAATCGGCTGACACAAGTTCACGCCGGAATGATGCCGGTTCGGGGATTCTCAAGATTGCTTGCACACACAGGACGGGCTTGGTTGTTTGGTCTGTGGAGGAACCTGTTGGTAGGTGTGTGGGGTACGGTTCGTAGTCGTTCTTAGCTGGCCACCACTTTTACAGCAGCCTGGCCACTTTTCGTTTGCATTCCTTTTTGTGTGCGTGTGTTTTTTTTTCTTGTTCTATTCTATGTGAGCGAGTATTCGGTTATACGGCACGCACATGGGTGTGTTCAGATGTTTTATTTTCGCACTGTTTGTTGCTTTGCTTTCTCTCTCGATATTTGCGTACGTACGACATAATTAGTTCATGTGTACTTTTGCTAGTGACGGGGAGGCACCAGAGGTGAGTATGACAAAACGTCAAGAGTTCGTGCACAGACACTGCCCTGCAACAACGTCAGGGGGTAGAACCAAAGATGCATGGAGGGATGAGCTAACAACGGCCCTTCGATGCATGCGCCTCTGAAATGTGCTCGATCGCGGAATACTTACCAAACCTCCTGTCGCAGCATCTACTGTCATTTTTCCTCATCACCTGATGCTTGCGTTGTGTGCTGCACGTTTGTTTTCGTATTGAACAACTCGACGGTTTCCTATACTGTGCCCTCAGTAATGCCGGAACCGGCAAAATGGAGGCCGATTCTATATAATGCCGGTCTCTCGCTATAATGCCGGTGAAACCGGCCGTCATCCGCCGGCATAATACCGGGCCACTTACTGTATCAAACAATTACGATCTTTCCAATTCTACCAGACACAACTAACATGAGCAATTGTAGCATACGTAGACGTGCCCCAGCTCTCCGTCTTTTTCTTCGAAGCGGACCAGCTATAAGACACACAGCGCACTTCAGAACCCGGTACGCCACTGAACAGGGCCAACATTTGGTTCGCACACCACAAGGCCGCCCCGCGGCCACAGCCATGGCGAACAACAACACGGGCCGCGTCCATCACCACAAGCACCATACTGACTCACTTCTGCAGGAAGAAGTCCACTCCGTTAGCCTTCCAGCACTCCACCTTCATCCTCGGGCCCTGGACAGCAAAGCAAGCCCATCGCACGACGGTTGTTGCGCGTTGGTGTATC